AACAGAATATATTTATTATAGAAAAAATCAAAGAATTCAGAAAGTAAAGAAAGAGAACCTGTAATCTTACCACCCAGAGATGACCATTATTGATATTTTGGAGTGAATCTTTCCAGTTAATTTATTTGAACACACACACACACACACACACACACACACACCAGAAACACATTTTTTTTAAACAAATGGACTTGCACAGAAAATCCTATTTTGTAACCTATTTTTTCCACTTAGCAAGATGTTCTGAAAGTTTTCTATAGGTACTCTTTTAAATGACAAGTATTTCATTTCATGGATGTACCCCAATTTATTTAACTAATACCATAACTAATGAATCCAGTGACACAGACAGTACAATGATGAACATTGTTGCACATAGATATTTTTCATTAATGAAGTTGTAATTGAGGTATGGATGCATAAATGTGAGATGTATGGATATATAAATGTAATTATTTTGCATATGCAACTGTTAAAAGTTTTATGCAATTGAATTGCTCTAATACAATTTCTATTTCTTTTTATTTGGGTTTCAGGCTTTAGAACTCAGAGGGACTTTAAAAATCAACCTGTCCAATCCCAACTTTGAGTAAGTAAGCTGTTTTCACCACATAACATATGGGCCACTGTGATCCAGAGAGGTTAAAACCCAAGCTCCAGGTCACACAGCTGTATTGGTGGCTATGTGAAGACTAAAACCCAGGTTCCTGATACTGAGCACGCTGAAATGCCATTCTTCCTTCACATTGGTTCTCAAACTCAGCTATACTTTGGAATCACCAGGGAGCTTTAAAGAATACTGATGCCTGGATCTCACCTCCAGAGAACTTGATTTAATTGGTCTAAGGTGTGACATTTTTAAAGCATGCATTTATTTTTATAAAATAAAACATCACTGCAGAACACCACACCAATAAAACACATGACTTAATGAATTACTTTAAGGTAAGCACCGTTCAGATGAAAAAAATAGAAATTTGCCAGCCATTCCAGAAGCCTCTTCCATGTACCCCATCCCAATCACACATTCCCTCCTCCCGAAAGTGACCACCAGTTAGACCTGCCTTTCACAGTGACCACTTCCTCACATTTTCCTTTTTTATAGTTTTATCACCCAAATGTGCATTCCTAGAAGCTATATTTTACTGTCGCCCATTTAAAAATACATCACGTATCTTTTTTTTTTCACATAAGTATCTTTTAATCTGTAGGTTCCTCCTCTTCTATCCTTCTCTGGCTTATAGGCCTTTGACCTGCACAGTCTCCCACAGTCTGGATTTTTTTTACTTGAGGGCTTGTGGTGCAGGTCAGTGCGTTCCTCTGTCCTCTGTATTTCCTGCAAATAGACAGCTGATTCAGAGGCTGATTCAGATAACAGGTTCGATCTCTTTGGCAAAACCCTCAGTATTATATAGCAAGGCTATAAAAGGCACACATTGTCTCGTTATTTTTTGTGATCTTAGCAGATGCATAATGACTATATCTATTATTCATTGGGGAGGTTGCCAAATGCTGATAATTTGATACTATCATTTCTTTTCATTTTTTTAGTGGAAATACTTTTACAAACACACACTTTCCCTCATCTACTGTTTTGTTATACCGTAGTAAAGCTCATACAGAAAAAGCACAATAAAGGTTATATTTATTCCTTTAATTTAACTGTTTCAAGATAATAAATTGGTTATCATCATCTGAAGGTGACCAATTCCTGTTTTTGAAGTATCATTATGAACTCTTAGATTTAGACACATTAGGTGAACTTCAAACCATTGCAATTATTATCATTATTGAAGCTCACATAGTCCTTTGGCCAGCGAGAATCTCAAGCTGGTTCCTGAGCCCTCTTGACAAAACCTGTTTTTCTACTTTCTAGTTCTCTTCAGGTATTCTCTGTTGTATTAACTTGCTCTTGAATTCTTTCTAGTTTCACCTTCATTAATGAAATGATTTATGTTTTTTGATTCTTATTCTATATTGAGTTCTGTCCCCTCATTTCTGAGTTTTTCTGATTCTGATTTTGGTTGGATTTTTTTCTTAATGATGTTCATTTTGAAGTCATAGGTTACAATTGTTACCTGGTTTTGAGCCAATGTTTGGGCATTCTTTCATTGTCTCGTGGGACATTATTCTGGTTCTTATTCTCTTTTTTCTTGTAATAACTTTGTGTGAGCTTTGACCTTTATACTGTTCTCTTTTTTATTTTCTGTGTGGAATTAATTGTTCGGGAGTTTATAAGATGGAGTTCAGGAAAGCTTTTCTAATTTCATAGAGCTCCCTCTTCTGTTGTTTTTGTGTAGTGTTCAAAACTATGGTGGTTTGCCTTCTGGGATTTTTCTCATACTGTTCCCCTCTCCATTTAGGTCTACCCTTTCTATTTCTGTGCAATGTTTGAGACATACTTACACACTAAAAAATTAATCACTATTTACTTGAAATGGACTTCAAATTAACTGGGCATCCTGTGTTTTATTTGCTAAATCTGGCAACCCTAGTTGTAAATATTTTCCATGTGCTTTGGGTTTACTGTCTAGATGCTCTGCTGTTTTTATGTGGAGATTTGTAGGGACTGAAAAATTATGCAGGTGCTGGCATTGCCGCTTTCCCAGAATTCAGCCCATAATTCTCAAAACAGTCTTCTTGTTTCCCGCCCTTCTCCCTTGCTCACACATATATCATCCCATATCTCCTCTGATAACCCATGATATAAATCTAGTGTGTATTTTTCTATAGTATTTATTTTATTCATATAATAATATACATATGTGAATTATAAATATGGTTTATTTTTTTAAAACAAAAGTGAGATCACATAATATACATTTTTCTCCATGTTGCTTTTCTCAGTCAACAACATCCCAAAGAAATGCTTCCAAGCCACCTCACAGAACCCAATTTCCTTCTTCATAATACCAGCACTCAGAGACATGCATAGATTGTAATGACTTTAACCATGTACTTAGTGTTAGGCTTTCACTTTGTTTATGGATTTTTGCTGCTACAAAAGCATCTGTAATAAAGACCCTTACATAGATCCTTCCATGTGAATGCTTTTGTTTTCCTGAGATAGACTTCCAGGAGTATACTTACTGGGCAAAAGTGTTTCTGATTGTGGCAGAAATGAAGATAGGGTCATTCAATGTCCATAGCATCCCCCTTCTGTCATGCTTTCCCATTGAAGAGAGGATAGAAAGTTAAAATAACAAAACTCCAGACTCTGACTAGTTCATCCTAGTAAATACCCCCATCCAGGATTAGATTTAGGAGTAGCCACACATATGTGGTGGAAGCATCTGGTTGTTTTGAGGGAAGCTGTGTTGGAGCCCCTTCCTGCTGTCTTGTCCCTCGCCTCATATATGTCATAAAAGAGAGGTAGTTGGAGGGTTGTCACTGGGACCTTCCATGGTGAGGCTGGCCATTTCTCCTGACTGCATGAGTACCTCAAACTTCCTGTCTATTCTTATAGACAACATTTTATAATAAACCTCTCACCATTAAAACACTCCACTGAAGTCTCCATTGAAGACACTGCCTTAGTGATCAAAGTGGCTGCTGTGTAGACCATGTGAACAGCACAAGAGTATAAAGGCTGTGGCTTAGTCTGTCTATTTCTAACAGTACTTGAAGAAATTGGAAGTCTTAGGGTTTTAAATTCTTGCCTCCAGGCATGAGTAGAGAACCAAGAAATTCCTACTATTGTCCTAAAATAATCTCTTCATGTTAGTCCCAAATGGCTGAGGTTAACTGGGTTGCTGTATTTAACTCAGACTGAGCCCATTACTATTTTTTTTATACAATTTTTTATTAAGGTATTATTGATATACATTCTTATGAAAGTTTCACATGAAAAACAATATGGTTACTACATTCACCTATATTATCGTGTTCCCCCCATACCCCATTGCAGTCACTGTCCATCAGTGTAGTAAGATGACACAGAGTTACTATTTGTCTTCTCTGTACTACACTGTCTTCCCCATGATGCCCCCCATATCATGTGTACCAATCATAATACCCCTCAATCCCCTTCTCCCTCCCTCCCCACCTACCTTCCCTCACCCCTCCCCTTTGGTAACCTCTAGTTCCTCCTTGGAGTCTGTGAGTCTGTTGCTATTTTTGAATCCATAGTCTTGTTTGATCTTTTAGGTGAAAGTCAGGGCATCAATTGGGAAAGGGTGGTAACATGATAATTGGGATGGGGAAATTCAGGAGAATCTGGCTGATACCAAGTAGTCAAACTCCATTCAGCCTCACTTGACGGCAGAGAAATAATCCTCCCTGTCTTTGTCTGATGTACCTACTCCTGCCCTGCTTGAATCCCTCCAGACCTGGCCTGAGATAGTTTCCTTGCAAGTGGATGCCCGTGCTCCTTATGCTCTTTCTAATCTCTCTTTATATCCATACATATAAGTAGAGTTGTGTTGTCTTATGTCCTAGGGGACCAATTACAAAGTCATATGTTATTTAGCAAAAGAATTGCAATATTTTGCTAATTTGTCTCAATAAGACATGGAAAATACATGTGGATGTGAATTCAAGAGATTAGGGGCACAATTTTACTATGGCCTAAATTTATTTAGTTTTAGAGGATCTAACTGTTTGGTCAGTGGATTGAAATCTGGTGTGGCTTATGCTGCATAATGTTGAGATACCAAGAACTCTTTGATATGATACAGAAAAAGCCAATGACATTGATATTTTGGAATTTTGGAATGAATTTATTAAATGTGGACTTACCATTCACTCACCCCTTTCTTGAGCCAAGAAGACTCACATCACTAAGAAAATACACAGAGAAACAGAACAATTTTAAATCAAAATTTCAGCAGGACACTAGGAAGGGAATATTAGGTTCAGAAAGATCAGATGGGAGAAATAAGATCATACAACAGGAAAGATTAAACTGACGCCATTTCAGATTTTAAAAATCTTTTATTGCAGTACAGTAGATATACAATCTTATATTGGTTTCAGATATACAACACAGCAGTTCAACAGTTACCCATATTGTTAAATCCTCACCCCCACTAATGCAGTTACTGTCTGTCAACATAGGAAGATGTTACAGAATCATTGGCTGTATTCTCCATGCTGTCCTACCACAGATTTTTAGTTTAATGTTCTACACAGCAGATTGATTTTGCCATTCTGCCTGATTGAGATACCATGGGAAGAATAAAAGATTACTTTCGTTTAATCACGAAAAGAATATTTAATGGAATGCCAACAAAGCTCTGAATAGATTTTCTTTTTAAAAAACGCTTTTTAAATATAAACAGAATATATTTATTATAGAAAAAATCAAAGAATTCAGAAAGTAAAGAAAGAGAACCTGTAATCTTACCACCCAGAGATGACCATTATTGATATTTTGGAGTGAATCTTTCCAGTTAATTTATTTGAACACACACACACACACACACACACACACACACCAGAAACACATTTTTTTTAAACAAATGGACTTGCACAGAAAATCCTATTTTGTAACCTATTTTTTCCACTTAGCAAGATGTTCTGAAAGTTTTCTATAGGTACTCTTTTAAATGACAAGTATTTCATTTCATGGATGTACCCCAATTTATTTAACTAATACCATAACTAATGAATCCAGTGACACAGACAGTACAATGATGAACATTGTTGCACATAGATATTTTTCATTAATGAAGTTGTAATTGAGGTATGGATGCATAAATGTGAGATGTATGGATATATAAATGTAATTATTTTGCATATGCAACTGTTAAAAGTTTTATGCAATTGAATTGCTCTAATACAATTTCTATTTCTTTTTATTTGGGTTTCAGGCTTTAGAACTCAGAGGGACTTTAAAAATCAACCTGTCCAATCCCAACTTTGAGTAAGTAAGCTGTTTTCACCACATAACATATGGGCCACTGTGATCCAGAGAGGTTAAAACCCAAGCTCCAGGTCACACAGCTGTATTGGTGGCTATGTGAAGACTAAAACCCAGGTTCCTGATACTGAGCACGCTGAAATGCCATTCTTCCTTCACATTGGTTCTCAAACTCAGCTATACTTTGGAATCACCAGGGAGCTTTAAAGAATACTGATGCCTGGATCTCACCTCCAGAGAACTTGATTTAATTGGTCTAAGGTGTGACATTTTTAAAGCATGCATTTATTTTTATAAAATAAAACATCACTGCAGAACACCACACCAATAAAACACATGACTTAATGAATTACTTTAAGGTAAGCACCGTTCAGATGAAAAAAATAGAAATTTGCCAGCCATTCCAGAAGCCTCTTCCATGTACCCCATCCCAATCACACATTCCCTCCTCCCGAAAGTGACCACCAGTTAGACCTGCCTTTCACAGTGACCACTTCCTCACATTTTCCTTTTTTATAGTTTTATCACCCAAATGTGCATTCCTAGAAGCTATATTTTACTGTCGCCCATTTAAAAATACATCACGTATCTTTTTTTTTTCACATAAGTATCTTTTAATCTGTAGGTTCCTCCTCTTCTATCCTTCTCTGGCTTATAGGCCTTTGACCTGCACAGTCTCCCACAGTCTGGATTTTTTTTACTTGAGGGCTTGTGGTGCAGGTCAGTGCGTTCCTCTGTCCTCTGTATTTCCTGCAAATAGACAGCTGATTCAGAGGCTGATTCAGATAACAGGTTCGATCTCTTTGGCAAAACCCTCAGTATTATATAGCAAGGCTATAAAAGGCACACATTGTCTCGTTATTTTTTGTGATCTTAGCAGATGCATAATGACTATATCTATTATTCATTGGGGAGGTTGCCAAATGCTGATAATTTGATACTATCATTTCTTTTCATTTTTTTAGTGGAAATACTTTTACAAACACACACTTTCCCTCATCTACTGTTTTGTTATACTGTAGTAAAGCTCATACAGAAAAAGCACAATAAAGGTTATATTTATTCCTTTAATTTAACTGTTTCAAGATAATAAATTGGTTATCATCATCTGAAGGTGACCAATTCCTGTTTTTGAAGTATCATTATGAACTCTTAGATTTAGACACATTAGGTGAACTTCAAACCATTGCAATTATTATCATTATTGAAGCTCACATAGTCCTTTGGCCAGCGAGAATCTCAAGCTGGTTCCTGAGCCCTCTTGACAAAACCTGTTTTTCTACTTTCTAGTTCTCTTCAGGTATTCTCTGTTGTATTAACTTGCTCTTGAATTCTTTCTAGTTTCACCTTCATTAATGAAATGATTTATGTTTTTTGATTCTTATTCTATATTGAGTTCTGTCCCCTCATTTCTGAGTTTTTCTGATTCTGATTTTGGTTGGATTTTTTTCTTAATGATGTTCATTTTGAAGTCATAGGTTACAATTGTTACCTGGTTTTGAGCCAATGTTTGGGCATTCTTTCATTGTCTCGTGGGACATTATTCTGGTTCTTATTCTCTTTTTTCTTGTAATAACTTTGTGTGAGCTTTGACCTTTATACTGTTCTCTTTTTTATTTTCTGTGTGGAATTAATTGTTCGGGAGTTTATAAGATGGAGTTCAGGAAAGCTTTTCTAATTTCATAGAGCTCCCTCTTCTGTTGTTTTTGTGTAGTGTTCAAAACTATGGTGGTTTGCCTTCTGGGATTTTTCTCATACTGTTCCCCTCTCCATTTAGGTCTACCCTTTCTATTTCTGTGCAATGTTTGAGACATACTTACACACTAAAAAATTAATCACTATTTACTTGAAATGGACTTCAAATTAACTGGGCATCCTGTGTTTTATTTGCTAAATCTGGCAACCCTAGTTGTAAATATTTTCCATGTGCTTTGGGTTTACTGTCTAGATGCTCTGCTGTTTTTATGTGGAGATTTGTAGGGACTGAAAAATTATGCAGGTGCTGGCATTGCCGCTTTCCCAGAATTCAGCCCATAATTCTCAAAACAGTCTTCTTGTTTCCCGCCCTTCTCCCTTGCTCACACATATATCATCCCATATCTCCTCTGATAACCCATGATATAAATCTAGTGTGTATTTTTCTATAGTATTTATTTTATTCATATAATAATATACATATGTGAATTATAAATATGGTTTTTTTTTTAAAACAAAAGTGAGATCACATAATATACATTTTTCTCCATGTTGCTTTTCTCAGTCAACAACATCCCAAAGAAATGCTTCCAAGCCACCTCACAGAACCCAATTTCCTTCTTCATAATACCAGCACTCAGAGACATGCATAGATTGTAATGGCTTTAACCATGTACTTAGTGTTAGGCTTTCACTTTGTTTATGGATTTTTGCTGCTACAAAAGCATCTGTAATAAAGACCCTTACATAGATCCTTCCATGTGAATGCTTTTGTTTTCCTGAGATAGACTTCCAGGAGTATACTTACTGGGCAAAAGTGTTTCTGATTGTGGCAGAAATGAAGATAGGGTCATTCAATGTCCATAGCATCCCCCTTCTGTCATGCTTTCCCATTGAAGAGAGGATAGAAAGTTAAAATAACAAAACTCCAGACTCTGACTAGTTCATCCTAGTAAATACCCCCATCCAGGATTAGATTTAGGAGTAGCCACACATATGTGGTGGAAGCATCTGGTTGTTTTGAGGGAAGCTGTGTTGGAGCCCCTTCCTGCTGTCTTGTCCCTCGCCTCATATATGTCATAAAAGAGAGGTAGTTGGAGGGTTGTCACTGGGACCTTCCATGGTGAGGCTGGCCATTTCTCCTGACTGCATGAGTACCTCAAACTTCCTGTCTATTCTTATAGACAACATTTTATAATAAACCTCTCACCATTAAAACACTCCACTGAAGTCTCCATTGAAGACACTGCCTTAGTGATCAAAGTGGCTGCTGTGTAGACCATGTGAACAGCACAAGAGTATAAAGGCTGTGGCTTAGTCTGTCTATTTCTAACAGTACTTGAAGAAATTGGAAGTCTTAGGGTTTTAAATTCTTGCCTCCAGGCATGAGTAGAGAACCAAGAAATTCCTACTATTGTCCTAAAATAATCTCTTCATGTTAGTCCCAAATGGCTGAGGTTAACTGGGTTGCTGTATTTAACTCAGACTGAGCCCATTACTATTTTTTTTATACAATTTTTTATTAAGGTATTATTGATATACATTCTTATGAAAGTTTCACATGAAAAACAATATGGTTACTACATTCACCTATATTATCGTGTTCCCCCCATACCCCATTGCAGTCACTGTCCATCAGTGTAGTAAGATGACACAGAGTTACTACTTGTCTTCTCTGTACTACACTGTCTTCCCCATGATGCCCCCCATATCATGTGTACCAATCATAATACCCCTCAATCCCCTTCTCCCTCCCTCCCCACCTACCTTCCCTCACCCCTCCCCTTTGGTAACCTCTAGTTCCTCCTTGGAGTCTGTGAGTCTGTTGCTATTTTTGAATCCATAGTCTTGTTTGATCTTTTAGGTGAAAGTCAGGGCATCAATTGGGAAAGGGTGGTAACATGATAATTGGGATGGGGAAATTCAGGAGAATCTGGCTGATACCAAGTAGTCAAACTCCATTCAGCCTCACTTGACGGCAGAGAAATAATCCTCCCTGTCTTTGTCTGATGTACCTACTCCTGCCCTGCTTGAATCCCTCCAGACCTGGCCTGAGATAGTTTCCTTGCAAGTGGATGCCCGTGCTCCTTATGCTCTTTCTAATCTCTCTTTATATCCATACATATAAGTAGAGTTGTGTTGTCTTATGTCCTAGGGGACCAATTACAAAGTCATATGTTATTTAGCAAAAGAATTGCAATATTTTGCTAATTTGTCTCAATAAGACATGGAAAATACATGTGGATGTGAATTCAAGAGATTAGGGGCACAATTTTACTATGGCCTAAATTTATTTAGTTTTAGAGGATCTAACTGTTTGGTCAGTGGATTGAAATCTGGTGTGGCTTATGCTGCATAATGTTGAGATACCAAGAACTCTTTGATATGATACAGAAAAAGCCAATGACATTGATATTTTGGAATTTTGGAATGAATTTATTAAATGTGGACTTACCATTCACTCACCCCTTTCTTGAGCCAAGAAGACTCACACAACATTCCCTTCATTATGGTATAGAAAAATATACTGATGAGAAGAGCCCTATATCTTCACAAGGAATCCATAGCAGCTGTCCTCTGTAGCCTGGGTGTGAAGGGAAATACTCTGTACTGAAATGCATTTCTTGATTTCAATGGAGATTATTATATCCCAGAATGGTAGAGGCCATAGAGTGACACTTAACCAACAGAGAAAGGTGACATGGCTACCATAATAAGCAGCAGGGCTAGAGTGGTAATCAGAATAGTTTGGCCAATAGAAAACTTTGATGGTAGCTTATGTGGAGTACTCAGGGCCAAAATAGACCACTAACATTCCACTTAGACTGTACAACTGGGAAAAAAACTTGAGGGTATGAAAAGAGTCCTGACTTAAATCATCACAATAAAGAGGCATGGCCTCTTACCTTTTGCCATTTCTGAGTTAGTTTGATGTCCCAGGAGCCTTTGAGGAAGGACCCTGTGATAACTTTGATAGAGTGACTCTTATTCCTGGTCTTCCCCAAAGGGACTTATGTCTATTTACCATGGTAACTGAGCCAGGGGAAAGAGAGATATCAAGACCTCTTAGGAATTACTAGTTACTGGCTCTGGGCCAAAGTTATTTCCAAGGAACCTGAATTTCACTGTGGTGCACCAGGCAGGGTGGGGCTTATGAGAGCAAGATAATGAAATTTCAGCTACTGTTCTTCTCATAGTGGCCCAATAGGTTTTCAAGTCCATCTAATTTCTGTTTGTAGTTGGAGTAGAGATATTCAGGTACTGGTAGAAAGATATACATTCTGTTTCACCCATGAAATCATGTCTATTGTGGCAGAAAAGACCAAATGGAAGTTCTTGGAGATTCCCCTTCCTATCCAAATTATAAACTAAAGACAATAATCATGCCCCTTTGGAGAATTTTGGTGACTAGGTACAATTGAAGACTTGAAATATTAATAGGCGGTGATTCTTATTACATTGCCATTTTACTCACCATGTGTCTTGGATAATTTTATTGGGTTACCATAAGTTTAATTAGGTGGTAACTTCAATTATAGCTGCTGATTCAAATGTGATCTTTTGCTGGACAAAATCCAATCCATCCTAAAAAGAAGGAAATTACATTTGCAACATCATCAGTGAACTTGGAGGGTATAACACTAAACAAAATAAGGCAGAGAGAGAAAGACGACTAGTGCCTGGTATCACTTGTATGTAGAATCTAAAAAAGTAAAGAAACTCATAAAAAGAGTAGAATTGATGGTTGTCTGGGCCTGCGATGTGAGAAAATAAAGAGTCTAGTAAAAGGGTAAAAACTGTCTGTTGTAAGAGAAATAAATGTATAATACTGTATTTTATCATTGAAATTTGCAGAATAGAACTTTAGAGTTCCCCCACCCCCAAAAAAAGTAAATATGTGAGTTGATAGATGGGTTAATTATCTCATGGTGGGAATCCTTTCACAATGCAGACATATATCAAGTCATCAATTTTCACACCTTAACTATATACAATTTTTATTAAAATATCTTTCATAAATAAACAAGTTATAGAAAAAAAAAACAAAAACCAATCCAGCATCTGGTACTGGATAGGCTGCTATTGATCTTATTTTCCATCTCCCAATAAGCAGAGAATAGGAGAGGCCATTGCTTTCACCTGAAAGGTCAGCTGCATAAATATTCTTTTCCATCAAGGCTACTTAAGTTCAGCATTGGGTCAGAATTTTGTCTTTATGATTGTCTCATTATCTTACTGGATATTGCTTTGATTCAATCCATTGGTGACATTCATTCTGATAGGACTAGAGAACAGGAAGTAGCAGGTGTCCTCAGTTCCCTGACAAGATACATGCATGATAGAGAGTACCTGGGAAATCCCACAACAATTTCAAGGTGTCACCCCAAGGAAGTGTCTGTGACTCCAGTAGACTGTGCAAAGTTGAGATATCACCTTCACAATGAAAAATAAGTTTCAAAATAAAAAATACCTTGCATCATTGTCTTTAGAAAAAATAGATAGCAGATCACTCTGGATTTTTGAGGCAACATATTTACTGAATAATGTGCACTCCAACCCACTGTAAGTAACCTGGAAGGGTTACTTGACTTGAGTCAAATCCAGAATAACCAAAAGCTTCAGCTTGTTGAAGTTGCTCTGGCATTTGCCCTTATGACCCAAAGTATCTAATGGTGTTCCAAGTATTTGTGCAGATTGAGACACTGTATAAAGCTTATGAAAATCCCAGATAGAGGAATTACAGTGTAGTGACCCTCAAAGGGATCAGTGAGGTGAGACAGTAATTTAATATTCACAGTAATAGAAATTCATTGCATTGTCCTCACAAGTTTATCATATTCTAAATTTATGACATATACAAACACACACATGCATATATTTGAAAATTTCTTTCTACATGTTACATATTAACTTTCATAATTTCTTTTTCTGATTATAAAAGTGTTATGAAAATGAGGCTATTAACAGATTGACTTAGCCATAAGTGGAAATGACTCATTCTAAGGGAGAGTTTGCTACCAGGAATCATCTACAGGTTACAGTTAGCTTCCTCTCCATCCACTCAAGCACTTGGAGATGCTCTTCACTTTCTGCCCATCTAATGACCCCAGAGACCAACTAGAGGAGGAAATTAAGGTTCCCCAGTAGGCAGACATCTTTATCAGTTCCAGTGAAACCGAATTTATTCTGAAGTTCTCTCCAGAATCTTTTGCTCAGCCAATTCAATACAATTTCCATTCATTTCTTTCAACAACATTTACCAAGCACTTTTTATATGCCAGACATTATTTTAGGCACTAGGCATAGAGTGGTATGCAAAACAGACAAAATCTCTGCTCTTATGGAGCTTGCATCCTAGTTGGGGAAGACAAACAGTAAGCAAAAAGTAAATGTTGGTTGGTAAAAAGTTCTAAAAAGTAAAATAAAGTATGGGTAGGTGTATTGAGTTATCAAAGAAAGCCTCTTTGACAAAGTGAGCAGAGACTCTGTGGAAGTGGGTGCCAGGAGGTGGGAACAGCAGGTGCAAGGGCTCTGAAGTGGGGGTGGGCTTTGCATATAGAAGAACCGTGAGGAGACCAGTGTGGTTTGAGAGGGGTGAGCAAGAGGGATGGGCAGTTTAGATCTGGAGGTATCTTGGTAGGAACGAGGTCAGGTCGGCTCTTATAGGCCATGATCAGGACTTTGGATTTTATTCTGAGTGAGGCTGAGAGTCCTTGAAGGTTTTGGACTAGAGACATAAAATCCTCTGATTAATTATTTAACCGTGTTACCTTTGTTCCCCCACAGAGAATGGTCTATGATGGAAAGTAGTTCTGTACCTCTACGTTCTGTCACCTTCAGGCACATGCAGAAGTGCAGGCTCCTCCCACTTCCTCTTGCTGCAGGGCTTTAATTTGCATATTTATGTAAATCTTGGCTCATCCTGCACTGCTGACCTACTTCCTCCAAACCTGTCCTACAGTTGTAGGCAACCTTCCCTGCCCCCATAGCCTCTCACCTCATCCCATCCTTGACTGACCCGCTTTGCTCCTGAGGACAGGGCTGTCCTTGCAGCTTCTGTGGGGGAGGTTGGAGATAGGGCAGGGACAAGAGACAAGCATGACGATTAGTTTTCTGATCCTGGGATGCAGTGAGATTATGTTCTGAGAACTTCCCAAAGAAAGATTTCCAAAAAAGCCAAGGTATAAACAGTATAGTAAGAGCAAGAAAGATTCCATCTTAAGGCTAAGATTCCATTTTAAAAACCGAGAAGTTATGAAGTAAGTTTCCTAACATGTTCTTTAAACAGGCGATAACTCAACCGACTTTGGGGGCAGGGTAGGCAGTTTTGATTGATATGTTCCCAGAAGGTAGCTGCTATCCTAGAGAGGAACTGACCAATTTCTTGTGTCAAATTAATTTTGCAGAATTACCTAGAGGACTGATAGTAGAAGAGACTTAATGTCTCTCACTGGAAATAAGCATTTTGAGATCACTTTACAAGTCTATACGCCCTAGCCCTTTGAAAAATCCTTAAAAGAGGGAATTCCCAGCCTTTTTGCGCCTCCTTTCTGAGGATGCCTGCACTTTTCTTTCTTTAAGTGCTTACCTTTAAATAAAGTTTCTCATTGCTTAACTTACCTGCGTTTTGTCTCTCTGTGCTTTTCCAATAGTAAGCGTTTCTTTGCTATTTCATTCTATTTCCAAGTTTCCATTTCCACTTAGTCTTCACTTTACTCCTGAGAGCTCAGATTTGGGCCTGCAAGTTCCCTTCGCCTGGGTGACCAGTTGGAAACTAAAGCTGCAGGAGACTGCCTGAAAATCTCCTTTCTTTGGGAAGTTCTCAGAAATAATCTCACTTCATCCCATGCTCTGTGGTTCCCCCAAATCCTGTGGTGGTAGGGGCTAGTCCCCATGCGGTGCAGATGCAAGTGGACACGGGACACCAGATGACCTTGGCTTTCGGAGTTAGCAAGAGAAACTGCTTTAACCCTCTGCACTTCACTGTTCTCAACTGCCTGCAAGGCCCCTGCCATTCATTTCTACTCTCGCATTAATGAATTCCTTCCTTACCTATACTCTGAGGATGTGCTTGAGAATTTTTTATAAGTTACAAAATAAAAAATACCTTGCATCATTGTCTTTAGAAAAAAATAGATAGCAGATCACTCTGGATTTTTGTTTTGAGTCAAGAACCCTCCTCCATCCAAGCTGAGGTTTCACCTAGTGCGCAGAAAGACCTCTTCCAGACGTAGCTTCCCATCAACAGGTTGACTGTTTCCCATGTTCCATTTACCACAGGGCTAGACTGGGCTGTGTCTGCTCCTACTGCCCCACTGGAAGCTCCTACACTGTATGGTTCAATGGGAAGGAGCATGGACTGTGATAGACAGACTGGGCTTGAAGCCATGTTGCACACACCCGCTTACTGGCTGGAGTATATTGGGCAAATTATTTAACTTACCTCAGCCTTGTTGTTCTCATCTGCAAAATACCTTACTGAATTATTGTGAAGATTGTAAAATACCAATCATAGTGCGTGGCTCTCCAAAAGCCTTAGTCTTCCATTCCTGCCTGTCCCTTTGATGTCACATGGCTATCCTTGTGACTTCCCTGGGTAGCACAGGAAGGATCTAGCATTTGACCCACCTTCTCTCTTATTCAGCTTCTGTTTCCCTCATAGGGGTTTTAATAGCCATAGGGGGAGTTTTAGGAACTCGTTTTTGTAGCCACACCTTGGCCCCTTAAACTCCTATAGTCACACCTTCAACCTTTTAAACTCCAGTATTTTAGTCCCCCGTCAAGATGTATTTCTCTACTCATCCTTGTATGCTTGTGCATTTAGTTTCCAAGGGCTTCTGCTCCAAGTTTGACAGCTTCATCCCAGGGCTCTGTCTTTTCCCACATTTGGCCTAGACTTTGTCCTGTAGATCAGTGACAGGTTTTGGGTTTAAGCAACAGAAGCTGACTCTGCGTAACTTCAGCAGAAAAGGAACCTAGTAGAGGGATATTGTGGAGCTCCTAGAACCAATGGGCAAGCTGGAGACCAGACTTGGAAAAGGGGTGGTATTGTATGTTAGGTTTATCATTCAGGAAATATTTATTCCCTGTTCATCAACCACCTTAGAAGAAATATGTTGTTGCTTTTATCCATTTGCGTTGGCCAGTGATGTGTGGGAGAAAAATGACAGTGTGCCTGTGGCCTTAAGAGGCATTTGTGTTTCCACTCACCTGAGCACTTCCTATTTCCGTCATGGAAGGAGCATTCTTTGGGTAACCTGCTGGTCCCTGAAGAATGAAAGACTTGTGGAGTAAAGTCACCCTAGCCACTCATGCACTGCAGCATGAAGCAGATATTCTCAGGCAACCAGCTGGTGCACAAGCAAGAAACAGTGCTTTTTATTGTGGGTCACTGAAATTCTGTGATTGTTTGTTATACAGCATTAAATATGAGTGGTTGAGCAGGGAGGCAAAATCAAAGGAAGGCTGGGGAGCAGGACCTTGATGATGGTCCTGCCGTAAGAACCATCTGGTTAGGATATCCCTGTTTCATTGGCTGTTGCTACTATGGCAACTTCACCACTATGACTATCTTCTAAACCAGT